TTTTTTGTAAATAATATTACTGAAAAATATTTACTTTCAGTAATCTATGATTCGCGAAGACACGGATGTGTTACGCGCGATTTTTCAAGTTTTGTATTGGAAAGTTAATGAAAGAATGAAAAGGAAAAAAAACATGGATATTTCTTTCCAACGATCCTCTACAGTCACACATTTAATTAAATGTGTTGTCACGATCGTTTGCACTGATTCGCGCGATAATCTGCGCTCCAGCGTCGAGACGGGGGTCGTCTCATCACAGGCATTGCAAGATTGTAAAAACAATCAAATCGTCGTTATCGAGACTGGCAATCGCAAAAAAGACTGATAACGACGCTGACCAGTCGCAGCGAGATTAGTGATAATTAAAAATGGTTTACTTCGTTGCTCTTGGCGTTTTATCGCGAGAATAGAAGACATTGTGGTAGTTCTTAGAACATTGTTGAGATAGATCACAGGAATATTACATTTTTCAGCAATCGGAAATAGCTTATATCGTTATTTGTTTTTTTAAATATTTTTAATAATATTAGAATCGGTTATATAAAGAAAATTTTTACTTCCATGCAAATAAGAAAATTTAATTGAATTATATAACTGTGCAAAACTCACATTATGCAGCTTGAAGTAAAGGCCGCACGCGTTACAGACAGGCTCCCCACTGTTGTTTCGTCTCCAAAGGGTCGTGTTGCTTGTGTTACAATTTGCACATTGCACTCCCGTCCTCCGTACGCTGGTCTACAGTATAAAAAGCGCTACTTTTACATGAAATATTAAATTATTAGAAATTAAAGATAAATGAAAATATTTCTAAGAAACTTTAATTAATACTTAAGACACTTTGTACTGGCAATATTTTAATTCCGACAGAAAATTACTCTCAAAAAATATGCGAAAGATGCAATATATAAAAATTACAAATAACTGATTAAAACAATTCCTGATAACGCTCTCCGTTATCAAAAATAAGATATTCAGTTACCAAAAAAAGAAAAAATTTAATTCCGTAAACGCTTTTGTTTTTCCATCGAAAAATTTAGGTATAAATAAGGCATATATTTCTTAAAGTCGCTCGTGAGATGATTGATTACTCTCGACGGACGATGACGAAACAAAATGCGCCGTCGCTGACGATGAGGTGTTTGAGAAATCGAGACTACGAAAATGGGAGTGCTCGGAGCACAAGAAAACTAGAGCAAACAACGGCCGCCAGCGAGTCCCGTAGTGATTATTTGCTCGGCAAGAGATAACGTCCCTCTTTCCTCTGTCTTTGGTAGCGGTAGAGGGAAACGGAAAAGTGAGAGCGAGGGCGCGAGAACGTTACTTAATATCGAAGCCGTGTACGCTTTATGGGCGAGAAATTTATCAGGGTAAATAGCAGCGGCCTCATTTTGGCTATGGTCAAACGGATTTCGGATCTATCCATTAAACATTTGAGGACCGCGGCTTCTTTAGCTCTACTAATATTTGCAAATAATATTTTGCATAAATCTATTGCGTCAGAAATCATTAAAAAAATAATAAAAATAAATTGAAACTCGTTACAAGTAGCTTGCAAATGCTAAACAAAATACAAATTGCGAATTACATTATTAGAATTGTCTTAAAAAAAGAGGTAATAGTAGAAATATAATACTGTCGAAAATGACGAAAATGTGCGCAATAAGAAACTTGTGTGTACATGTTATTTTGAAAAATAAATAAATTATACGGTTTGATTGCAATAATCGTGATTCGCACAGTGTTTACCGGTGTGACCGACTGCTTCGGCTTCGAGCATCTTATAGGCGGTCTGCTGACGCCGTTCAACTTGGTGTAAATTCCACAGGCATTGCAAAGGTAGTGGCCGGTATTGTCTCGTCTCCATAATGGCGTCATGTTGACCGCACAATTAGCACATTCCTTCGGTTCGGTTGCAAGGACAGTACTGTCGAACTCGTCGCCGCCAGGTAGCGAAAGGGTTGTCCACGAGGGTGGCCCATTCCCGCTTGCGGAAACGCTATATGCGCCGCCGGAGTACAGTTGCATATTCGTAGCGTCGCTGACAGAGATCGCGGTGATGCCCGGATATCCTTGAACGTATTCCAAGGTCGGGGGCGAGGGTGTGCTACCGGCCGGCCAGTAAGGATCGCCCGAAGGCGTTTTCACGTATTGATACGACGCCCCTGTGCTGTACAGAGTCACTTGCGAGCCCGGAGAGCCAGGCGGCTCGTAATGTAGCGGCACCGCTCGAGTGGCGGTTAAAGACGACGCTAGCGTAGGATCGCCCTTTATGTACGCGCCACTGGGTGATTCCACCTGTTGGACGTAAATCAAATTGGTTTCGTACGCTTCTCTCGAGATTAATCAAATTTACGAAGCTGTACGAAAATCTAGAATCGAAGATCATTAAATTTTCAGGATTCTCATAACACAGTTCAACGAAAAAACTCTATCTTGCATTCTTGTGTTCGTAAAAAAGCTATTTTTTTGTAGAACTGTGTAATCAAATAATCATAAATTACTATTTTTACTTATATTTTCTTAAGGGGGGAACTCCAATCGACGAGCGCAAATTCATATGTAACTTTGTAACCATTTTCTTCGAGAACTATGCACTGGAACTAATTTCAATTTTGAGAGTATTTTTATATACTTATGAACAAAAGAAAAAACCATTAGTTAGCCAAAAAAAAATTTATTAAAGAAATTATTTAAACAATTGTGAGGTTCTCTGTTTCAAAAGTTGCTGTGCGACGCGCAGCATAGCGGCTGTTCTACTTATCTGAAGTAAAAAAACAAAGAAGATTTGTCTTTTTTAAGAAATTGCGCAGGTAACAAAGGAAAAAGTGCAAAATTGACAAAATGATGGCAGTTTGAAAAAAAGGTATCAATTTTCACGAAAATTTCGTCATTTCATTATACAATTAAACGAATTAAATTAAACAATTTTATTATTTTGGAGGTTTATCACCTAAAGAAAATATTTATGTAAATGTGTGTATCAGTAGAAATGGGTCGGTTAAATATTTTTTGAGTTATGGTGCACGTCAATTTGGAAAAAGTGATTTTGAGAGAGACGCATTTAGTTTTCAGTAAGCTTTCAATAAAGATACCTATCACAGCGTGACGCGCTACATTCCAACGGGCTGTAGCTCCATTTAATCTTCGAGTTCCGACTTAAAGCTTTGGGAACATATTTTCGAAATACTAAACTGTAGAGTCATGCGAAAATTGGAATTTCGATTTTTGAGTCCCGTCGATTGGAGTTCCCCCCTTAAGGTGTATACCTAACATTTTATTTACAACAATGCATTCTTTAAAACCAATCTTACATTGTATCAATTCATTATTTATCAATGTCAATTGACGTCATGTTTTTTTTATTTTGAGGAAATATAAAAGAAAAAATTGCATGATGAGATTACCGTTTCCGGACAGTATAATGAACAAATGATAAGCTTAACATCTGACAAGTTCAGTCCAGAAACACGGAGTGTTTTCACATTTGACTTTGGAGAATGCACCTTTGTATACAATATAATGGAAACTTGAAAAGATATAAGTGGAAAATAATAAATTACGATTTCATACATTTTTCACCGTAACAATGGCCCTCGCAACAAAAAGATGATTCAAACATATTCTCATTATTTATTGTATCATGCAATTATTATATTTTATTCATATAAATTTACTAAGTATTTTTACAATATATATTCAATATATATTTAGATATTCTGAATAAAAAATATAAAAAGTTCTCAAAAAGTCCAAAAGCTTTCAAAAGTCAGAAACAGGATATATAATTCAAATATCAACGACATATAATTTCTCACCTCAGTGGCTCTCGATCCTAGCTGCGCCGGTGGATACGCCAGGATTACAGGATCTCCCGGTTTAGCGTAGCTGTATGTCGGCGCCTGCTGGTAAGTCTCGTTGCTCGGCAAGTATTGCGTGTACTGAATGGTTTGCGTGGGCGGAATAGCGACCGTCTCCAGGGTGGTGTACGTGCTGGGTTTGATGCTTTCCGCGGCCGCCGCGGCTTCGGTATCGTACTTGACGACACCGCCGCTCGCGTCAGCGTAACTCGTCGCCACGAGCTGCTGGCCGGCGCGAATACCGTCGATCGGCGGCGAATACGGTGGCGCGGGTGACCCGAGATGCACCGTGGATCCCGGCTGCGTGACGATCGTCGTGGCGTCGTAATCCTCCGCGGCGGCCAGCACCGGCGACGCCTGGTACCTGGCGCCGACGTTCGTCCCGGAGGGCGTTTGGTGATTCTCGTGAGGGCTGAATCTGTGTCCCGCGTGCGGGCCTCGCCGATGATCGGGCGGCATCTGCACGGTGATCACTTGGTTGTCCCGCCGGACCTCGTGACCGTCGGAATAAGCGTACATCCGATCCATTTCCGTTCTGTCCTGCGCAGGCGTCTCGTACCTTCACAGAATTTGCGCTTTTTTTTCCATTTTTGTTTCTTTTTTCAATTCTTAATTATGGAAATTCTTTGATCGTCCTTACCTGGGCGGTTCCTTAACCGTCAACGTGATGGTGGTCGCCGACGTCTCCGAGACTTCCACCTGAACCTCCTGCCCGTTGCTGGTGGCGTAAACGACGCGCTGCTGATCCGCCGGGCGTGACTGATCCTCGGCGCCCGGATGAGAGATCTGCACGTAATGCTGCTGCGCCTGATGCGCTTGTTGCTGCTCCTCTTGGTAATTACGCTGCTGAGCTTGCTCGTGCTGCTCGTTTCTCTGCTGATGAAGCCCGTGATGAAGATTGTCGGCGACCGAATTGGAATCTGGCGATTCCGGCTCGACCTCGGCGATACTTTCGGTTATGTGACCAGCGGTGGTGATGGTCCTCACGTGTCTTCTGGTCGTTATTACGCTCTGAGGACTGCTGGTTGTCTGTTCCTCGCTTCCAGGAACTTGCGGTGAATTATTGTTCGTGTGATGACCGTCCCATTCCATTTTGATCTCCTGCTTCACCAGCGTTTCTTTCATCGCGTCCTAAATAACATGTCACATCTGGGATAATTCAATTATCTGATCGCACATTATTTACTCCGAGTGCGAAAATATTTTCTTCCAACGAGAAATCTTTAGTTGTTACTTCCTACACTTGTTTCGTTAAATCTGTATCAAACAAACTTCTATTCTTAATTAATCTCACTTGCACTTAGTACCGGAAATATAATAATTAAAAAATATCTTATCGTTAATAGACGTATTACGTTATTAGTATATCTAGTAATATCCGATAAGCTTATTCAAAAGATAAATGTAAGTCTATCATAATTGAAGCCTGATTATTTTCGACAGCGTAATATAAATGTTAACGACAGAGTGACACGACCTCGTGCGAAAACTCGCGCACGAAGACACCAGAACAGCGTTATCGTCGCGTTATCGTCGCGTAACGGAACGGCGCAAGCAAAAGTCATCTGCCGGATTTTTATTCGGATAACGGACGAGATTAGTGTCTAGGTTGGCGATCGTGCGAAAACTTTTGCTTTCATCGGTGACTTCCGTTCTGGAGATGCAACTACATTACAAATAGTTACTCATTAGGCGCTCACTGATATATAGAATTACGTTGTATTTCTCGCTCTCGCGGAAACAAATTCAATTTTCTAAGAAGGCAGAAAAATTTCAAGAAGTAATTATAAATAATCAATTATAATAATCAATAACAATTCGAACGGAGATGACAGATAAATTTAACAATCCCAACGTATATTATTTTATTTTGATGTTCAATAAAAATTTTGCAATAGTATAAAGATGTGTGTGTGAAGATCCTAAATATTTATCTTTAAGCATAATAAAAAGAGTAGTAAGTCTCTAAAAAAGCAGTGAATTAAATTAAGTTGTTTCTTAAAAGCGTCAATTAATAAAATGAAAATCTAACGGTCCTGCGGATTCGATTAGTCATTCTTTCAGGGGAATCCTTCGAGGCACGCGACACAAAATCGTTTCGGCCGACGGGCGAGAAACATACACAGCCAGTTTAGTGATGAGGATAGGAGGGGGAGGGAAAGGACCGGGGACACACCTCGTCCGTCTCGGAAAAAAATGCGAGAGGCACTGTTTGTCCTGCGTCACACTTCCGCTCGGCAATGTCAAGTTTCGACTTCCGGCGTGAGAGCACGCGACTTTTTTCTTTGGCAAAGACCTCGCGCGACTTCCGCTATATCTCGTCGCCGATGATCTCGCAATCTGTATCTCAGCGTTGCGTTCACCAAATCGGAGTAATGCGATAATAATGGTGAGTCATGAATTCTAGTGATGCGAATAAGAAGAATTATTTGTTATATTTTTGTAAACTTGTATCGCATCTGTAGAAGTTGTATTCATTGAACACTGCGTTATATTCTAAGTGTTTTAATAGTGATAATAATAGCGCTTTTTAATACAAAAGAATTAGAGCAAAATTTTAAAAAATACACACATTACTTGAACATATTTATAAAATATAGACTAGTATCCAATGGATCGATGAAGAGAACGAAAAGTATCGAAAATAACTAGAAACTAGTTATTATCCAGCAATTATAATGAATATTGTGACAGAAACTAATAAGAATTTTCCCTAAATGTCAAATAAAACTTCAAATATTGAAAGAAATACTGAAATGTTTACAACAATGATATGAGTTATATTATTTTCATTTTAAGAAATTAAAATCTTCACAAAAATTCTTAAAGAAAAATTTATTTCGTAGAATCATAAGGTTTATCCCTGAAGTGAATGAATTAAATTGATAACAAAATGTTTTAGATTATCTTAATCAATAAAAGATTATTTTATTTTAAACTCTAATTGTGATAAATAAAATCGCTGAAATCTTTGATTTTTATAATAATTTTACAGTGAATAAATTTGCTGTAGTATCATTCACGTTCACTGACAAAGTTTTAGTTATTCGCCTGAAAAGTCAATTTAATTAACTCAAGAGTTTAGCCTTCTATTTCACGTCAACTCGATTGACAAAAAGAAAATAAAACTTGTCCCACGTGAAATAAAATTACACAGACTTTGCATATTGTTGATAAGCAGATTATTATTGTTTGCCATTTTTATTACCGTCGTTAATTTATTTTTGTTTAATTTTTAATACCGTTAATTGCCGCATATGATACCGCTTTGTCATATGTGATATCCAATTGTTTTTTTTTTTTAACCATTAATATCTTTCGTCAATTTTATTAAATACAGCAGTATTTAGTAAAATATTAAACACAATTTATATATTTCCATTTTTAATCTTCTAATTTTTAATTCCGAAACATATTTATAATGCAATATATATTCTATATAAAAAAATATTTTGTATAAAAACTAAGCACATAATATTGATAGAATGTGAATCTGTGCATAAATCCGCGAAGTGATATACGCAACAAATTGTGCGCGTCGCGTCTGCATGGAGTCTGCCGAGTGAAAAAAGAACTACTCTACCGCAATTTTATTAAATAAAATTCCTTGAAATCAAATCTCAAGTATGATAAAGTTAACTCACATAAAGTTTAAATCTATACTTCCTTAAAAATTTCGCACCCGGGCAAATTAAACATTCATCGATACCTCGTTCGCCGCGTGTCGCATTAGAAACTCGTGCCGTGTTTTCTCTGTTCAATGCACTTTTGCAACCCCCTCACGCACTGATCTGGAATGTATCACGCGTATGCACTCGAAAGTACTCGCGGTACGATCGACGACGAGGAGCACTCGAAAGAAACGCTCAGCTGAGACGCTTCGCCAACGGGAAGCGCTTTCCAACTGACGACGGCGAGAGAACCGTAGAATCGACTCGTCGCGTTGTCTCACAAAGAAACGGGGAGGAAGGGTGGAAGGAAAGTGGTGGAACGGCGTTTCTCTACTGTGTTTCTACTACACCTCGCACAGACGAGATGATGTATACTCCTCGTCGTCGTTGACATCGTCACGAAGAGAACGGAAGAGCGACGAAGAGGAAGAGAGAGAAAGGAGCTGTACATGGAGAAGTAGCAGAAGATAGTTTAAACGGACACGAACAGTAGCGGGAGAGACCGATTGGGCGGTCCCTCGTATTTCATTGGTCAATCAGCTCTCGAGATTCTCCTGCGGTTATTTTCGTATATTTTTCCGCGCTTCTTGCCTTCTGCAATACACGGTTTACGCAATAATCTGGCATGAAGGTGCGTCTACGACATTTAATTCAGCACGTTTTACCGATCGGCAGAAGCTGCAATACACATTGCCGAGCAGCTTCACTCATCGGCAAATACGCGATTCAATCGGCAGACAGACATGTCTTCTGCAATACAATTTGCCAATTAAATTCACGGAATATACGCTGGCATACTGTTGCATACATAACTTGCTGATCGGCGTAAAAAAATGTTAAATCTGTCCGCAATTTATTTTTTATACACATGTTTTATATTTAATATAAGAAATGCAAGTATATGCATTTAAAGCGAAGAAATATACTCTTAATAATTAATATCAAAGTTTATTTTCATGAAAATAATGTCTCGGTAGAATATCGATTGAATGACGAATCTCCAAGATGAGTCTAGTATGTGTACAAAATAACTTTTTGACTACTTCATATAAAAATTTTGTTACGAAATCGCTCATCGTTCAACAAGTACTGTTTGCATTATGTCGTCAGATCGCGGTAAAATCCAACAAACCTGCGCGTCCGTAATTCTGTCCACTCGGATTGGGCAAATGATACGCAACACGATCCGGGGGGAAAAAGGTCACGGAGGGGTCCGTTTGTTTGCTTATTGATAATGGCGACGGTGCGATGTAGCCGCGATGAAGATAACGAGTGGCGCGAGGGAACGAGACGTGTCCGTGAGGCCTCGTCGTCATCGTCGGCCATCGTTGCTAACGCCTTGCATTTGCCAACGCCATTTTGTAGCGGCGATAGCTTAAGTGTAGGGGGATGATGATTCACCCGCGCACATTGACCAGTCGCTATAGCGGATTTGTAATAGGATCTTTAATAGTACAAAAAATTGAAACAGGAGGTATTCATTATGTTAAGATCGTCTGATAAACATAAAAATTATCCAGAAAAATGGTTATTTAAAAAAATCTTTCAATGATTTCTAAATAATGTTTTTTTTTCATACAATTGCCGTAATAATTAAACAGTTATTCTAATATTTCATGAAATTAAAAATCCTTTAACGGTCAGTTCAAGGCTCAAGGATTCTACGACTTCGACAAACTTTCGCTCTTTCTAAATATTATATATTCTATTCCATTAATACATATTATAAATCCTGTAAATGGGGATCCATAATCCTGTAAGGATTATATATCTATACTGACAATGAATAAATTTGGGGTAAAATTCTGTAGGCTCGACATATTAGCATTAAAAAACACATGCACTAAAAAAATTGTCCGCTTTTTCAGGCCATTAAAGAAGTTTTGCCGTTTCCATAGTCGAGCAAAAACCTCTAGCTTATTTCATGATAACAGTATAACTGTATTTCAAAATACTGCGTAAAAGTTTTAATACGAGAGAGTCGTGTAAAAACAATTATACGAAAGGTTAAAAGAATGTTTTTCTAATTCTTTTTCTAATTCTTTTAATCTTTCGCATAACTGTCTTTACACGAATCTAGAAAAAACATTTCTAATTTTTTTATTGGGTGACTATAATAGGGTGACTATAATAGTTTATTACACTCATTGTTGAGCGGTCGCTTTACTAAAGGTGATTAGGTGACATCTAAAATTTCAAGTTTTTTTTTTAATTTTTTATGGAGAAAGTGATTTACTTTTTTCAATAAAATAAATTAAGCAATTCTATCAATAGGTGATAACTTGCAACAATTCTGCTGCTCGTATGCACGAAGGCTAGTGGCGTTCGACGCTCTCGTATAGCGTATGCACTTTTCGAGGAGCTATTGCCGTAGCAAAAAGAGGGTTAAAGAATGATCACAATAAGTCAATCGAGACAATCGAGTTAATAAAGACAGTTAGCGATTTTTAACGGCGTAAATCTAGTTCTCAATCCATTCCGCTGTATCTTTCGTGTACTATCCACAGTACATTATTTTTAATAAAATGTAAATAGATCGAAATTATATTAATATTCATAAAATAAAATAATTATATTACAGTTATTACGCTAATAATGATAATATTAAAATTTATTTTTATTCGCGTGATAAACGCGCAAATATCTCAAAGCGGACTAAATGCTGATTAAATCATAGATAATTGATGGCGCTATGATATGCCGCGCAATCAATCATCATCCAACCCCGAAATAGAACAGATAGGGGAGGGAAAAAAGGTGGTAACTTCAATTACGAATTTTATGTACAGAATACACGTAGCAAAGTCATCAAGATAATGATTATTGCTCCGCGTCACCATGCGTCCTGATTCATTTCTGCAAACAAAACGTCATCGATAGGCGAAACCGTCACAATTTTTGTGAGCAAGTGATCTGAAAAAAGTAGGACACTTAACTCATATCTTAAACCCACTTATTTTTAATCTTTCAGGTCTAGATCAGAATGCAAGGTCAAAAAAAAAAGATAGCTTTTGAAATATAAGAAAATGTTATAACTGTACAGTTACCTATCTTTGAAAACAAACTATTTTTTTATTTTCACTGATAGTGATTTCGCTGAAGTTAAACAATACACTTATCAAAAGGATCCTAGCATAAGTGTTTCCTTCTAAAACTTCTAAAATCTTTAAAACTTCTAAAACTAAAGCGAGAGACAATGAGACCCCAACGAACAACCGAGAGCTAGGTAAAGAAAAATATGTTTACCGTCATAAATCAATCGATCCACTCCGATTAACTCCGTGAGAGAAATTTTTTCGAAATCGGCGGCACGAAACAGAGAAAAATATTTTTTTTTTCAAACTACGAACCTTTTAACGCGGAGAACTGTACGGGACGGTGTACGTGACGCTGTTGGATATTTTCTACCTGCGATCGCAATGATAGCGCAACGTAAGCGCGCCCACTCGATAGAAATCAAGAACACACGCACGTACACGCACACACATGCATCGCAGGTTTCCTCTCGAAGCAGCAAATTCCGCTGATAACAGCGCGCTGTTATGAGCCGCGACAAAAGGAGCAGAAGAGATTGTACGCAGTTGCAACACACCGAAAATTCCGTAGAATGAATCATAATATTCTCTTGACTTTATAAAATTGTTAGAATAAATGATACTTATACATGTTTATGATTAAGAAAAAAAGATTATTGATATGTCCGCGCGCGATGTTCTTATCTTTCAATTCTTCCAATCTTCTTACAATTTGTTCTCTGTTTGCGTGGTGAATTAGTCAATAGACGGCCGCCAATAAGACTTATTGATTCTCATAAAATCGTCGATTGCAAAAGTAAAAAGTGCATTTTCGACGGAATCGTAAAGATATCCGCCTTCTCTGTTTCGACGTTTTCGTTGAAGCAACAATTCGATATCGCGTCGAAGACGCATCGGCGCGGATTAACTTCGAAATGCAATTAAACCACCTGCACACAGAGCTTTAATGGGCGAAGTTTGGCGATCGTTCAATTTTACAATCGTGTTATGTCGCGGAGTAAGTAAACAGTGCGTTGTCGACAAACAAGAGGTAAGTGCGACGCGCGATGTATAATTACACGAGAGATTTCTCAATGTCGCAATGACGCATGAATTAATTTTTGACGTGCGCTCGCGGTAACCATCTGTCTTTCTCAAAATAAAAAATTAAATTATAAAATTTGAGTCCTTGTATTATGATAAAGATTAAACTCAAATAAAATAACTGAGAGTGTTGAATTTTTTTCAATTACAAAATGATAGTTCGCACATCGATCTTTTTTTTGAATAATTTTTAACATCCGAATATTATATAAATTTTATAATATTATTTATAATATTTAATTTTATCTATTTTTTGTTATTATTGTATGTTTTTCACACTAAACTGTAAAAACTTGAAACTTTTATTAATCAAAATTGCTACTCAAGTGAAAATTAAATAATTAATTTACAAATATTGCAATTAGCGATTAAATTAATAAAGATAAAGAAACATCACAACGAAGATAAAGAGACTTCTATGTAAAACTTCTTCGCGCGTACAACGCGCTTCGCGCATGCATCGGCGCTTGATCTGCGACAGCATCCTTGTTTTATTACAAACTTTATACATGCGATTATATGATAGATAGGCAAAGTGTATCAGTAAGGTGCAAGGTATCTAAGTCGGAGACGGCAAAATCATTGAGCAGAGATACCAGGACCGATACACAAAGCGCGACGTCATCGCCGATGGGGAGGCGCACGAGGTACCGCCACGTTGTCAAAATAAACGGCACTATCGCGATTTATCTCGTTTCCCATGATAATAAGAGATAAAACTGCATCCTTACATTAGCTAGTATATCAGCTAAAATGATAATTTCAGTCGTCGGGTCCGCCAGGAGCGCGTAGGGCCGCTCCTACTTCGACGTCGCGCCGATTCACCGGATTTTCCCGGGCGAATTCCGCGGGGATTCACCCGAGAACGGGGCGCGAAATGTACTTTAACCCGTAAGTGCGCCGCACGAGATCGAACACTACGTGTGCAACCCGA